TCACGTCCCGGACCTGGTGGCTTAAAACTCACGTCGGGCGCGTGTGCGTGCGTGCCCAAGATCCCGAGAGGAGAATGGAGGAGAAGGGATTGCGGCGTGGCCATTCCCCCTGGGGGGTGATTTCTCGCTTTCTGTCTCTCTGTCTCTCTCTGTCTTTCTGGTGAGCGCACGCGCCCTATAGCGAAAACCTCTCCAAAAAAAAAAAAAAAAGAAAAAAAAAACTGTTAGAAAAAAAAGATGCCAGGTCTGGGACTTGAACTGTAATGGGCCATGTGGGAATGCAGCACCTTGACCATCACACCACCTGCTGTCCCCCAGTAGCTAGTTTAAAAACAAACGAAAAAACCAATGACAGCAACAACAAAACACACTTAATTTTAGACTAATTTTAGATTTACAGGAAAGTTGAATAAATAGTGGAGAGTTTCTATATATTCTTTATCCAACTTTTCTTTCTTTTTTTTTAGGTATTTGCTGGAGGGTGCATACACTTTCTAGAGAGAGAGAAAAAGAGACAGTGAGAGGGAAAGTGAGAAATCACCCCTGGGGTGATGGCCACACTGCAGTCCTGCTCCTCTGTTCTCCTCTTAAGATTTTGGGTAATGTGCACACGTGCCCAGTGTGAGTTTCAAGTCACCGGGTCTGGGAACTCCAGCCATGGTCGACCATGTGGAAGTCCAGCACCTTAACCACTATGCCACCTGCTGCCCCCCAGTGTGACATTCGAAAGGAGTCAAAAAAGTCGAGAGGTTCCTCACCCCTGTGGTTAAGCAGAACTACCTCTTGGCCTAATCACAGTGCGTGTGCCGTTAAGGCACCTTGCACCACAGGCCGGGACCAGATAGGAGGTGTTGGTTCGATTCCCAGTCCAACCTAGAGGCTGGGCGTGGCCGCGCATGCCTGTAAGCCCAGCAGTCTCGGGAGGCTGAAGCAGGAGATGCGAGCTTGAGGCTGGCCTGGGCAACACAGCAAGAGCCTGCCGGAGAGAGCTAACCGCGGCAGGAGCACGCAGTCCTCGCCGGGCAGCTAAGACGGGAAGGTCGGACACGGCAGGAAGCCGGAATGAACAAAACAGAACGCCTCACAGTTTAGATAGCTCCAGAAAGAAACCCCCGCGTCCGTCACCACAGCTGCGTTGTTGCAGTGCCGTTGCTCAGGAATGTTTCTGAAATGGACTGCGCCTCTTTCAACGTTTATTTGTTCTTTATTTCCAGTTCTAGTAGACACACGCACCAGTGAGGGATTATAGCACGGGGTCGGGCCATTTACATATGCCCAGGACCCAAATGATACAAAGCAAGACCTCGCAGGCCTGCCTCGCCACCGTCCCTGTGCTTCCGACACTCCTGTCTGAGAAGCACCGGCCACCCGGGTCTTCAAACTCGGAGCCTCTTGGGGAACAGCGCTCGAATACTGATTCCAGTATTTCCTGTTCCTGACATTCTCGGCCTTGCACCTCAGAGACCAAAGGACAATGGCAACACGAGGTGGATGCAAGGCTGGTTCTGCCTGATCCCTGCTAGCCTGGTGGGGGCAGGGTTGTCCGGAGGGACTGCCGCTGATACCTACCGATGATGTGCACAAACCTTTTTATTTATTTATTTTTGGAGAGGTTTTTCCTATAGGGCGTGTGAACTCACCAGAAAGACAGAGAGAGACAGAGAGATAGAAAGCGAGAAATCACCCCCCAGCAGGGAAGGTCACACCTCAATCCCTTCTCCTCCATTCTCCTCTCGGGATCTTGGGCACGCACACACACGCGCCCAGCGTGAGTTTAAGCCACCGGGTCTGGGACTCGAACTGCAATTGACTACATGGGAGTCCAGCAACATAGCCATTATGCTAACTGCTGGTCCTGCTCAAAACTTTTTTTTAAAAAGAGTTTTATTTTATTTTATTTTATTTTTTTCTATAAGGCATGTGCGCTCACCAGAAAGACAGAGGGAGACAGAGACAGAAAGTGAGAAATCATCCCCAAGGGGGGATGGCCACACTGCAATCCCTTCTCCTCCATTCTCCTCTCGGGATCTTGAGTACGCATGCACACGCGCCCGGTGCGAGTTTTAAGCCACTGGGTTCGGGATGCGAACCACTGTCGACTACATGGGAGTCAAGTGACATAGCCATTATGCCAACTGCTGGTCCCTAGCTCAAACCTTTTCTATATTCCACCTTGTCCACTTAAACAGGACAAAAGACCCACTGTCCCCATTCTCATTATAGGGGAAAAAAAAACTGGGGACAGCCAAGATTTGTAGAGGACTGAAACGGTAATCGAAGTGGTAGTAGGCAGCAGTCCAATAAAAACAAAGGGCCAACGTTTCATAACACCAGAGCGGCAGCTCCCGGCCCCTCCGGAGCGTCTTGGAGATGACCTGTTCTCAGAGTCTCTCCTGCAAACTGGGGATCCGATCCTCATGCATTTGGGGACACAGCGCTGGGCAGCATGCCGTTGTTTTACAGTTAAATCCGACAGGTGGTGGTTGGGGAGGAGGGGGCAGCTGGCGCCGACGGTGACATCTCATGGAGCTCCCGATGTATTATCGTGTGCTCCCTGCCCCTGCCCCAAGGACGGACGACAGGGCAGAGAAACAGAAACCACCTCAGAACGTCTGCTTTACTCTCCTCTCCTCTCCGTCATGTCAGGCACCCTTCTCTCAGTTACCCCTCCACACACCCCCTAACTCCTTCTTACAGGCTCGCGTGAATGAGCCCTCGAAGATAAATACTACTATCCCGTTGCAGGCCTCGCTGTGTATGGGGCCCTCTACTGTAATCTCCTGGGATCTCATGCAATCTTGCAAGACAGTGTATTCCCCCATTTTATAGATGAGAATACCTTGCTCAAGACCCTGGCTGGGGGCCAGCAGGTGGCACGGTGGTTACGGCACTTGACCCACACATCGCTGACCATGGTTTGAGTCTCGGGCCTGTGGCCTGAAAATCATGTGCGTGCGTGTCCAAAATCCCAAGGAGAGAATGGGAGAGAAGGGATTGCGTATGGAGCTTCTCGGGACCTAGGACACTCAGGGCCAAACCCAGAGAAGTTATAGGGAACCTCAGGGATGGTTTCTCACTTTCCCTCTCTGTCTCTCTCCAGTGAGTGCATGTGCCTTATGGCAAAAACCTAAAAAAACCTCCTAGCTAGAAGGTGACAGGAGCAGGACTCAGACCCTGGACTTCCAGCACCACGCCAGCTACACTTCAGCCAGGGGCCGAGCTAGACGGCCCCGGGCCTCCAGCCCCACGCGGACCCCACGACCTCTGCTCTCCTACGCTGCCGCTGACAAGCGAGGTCCCTGCGATGACTTCTTTCTCATTCTCGACACTGCCTTCGCTGATGAGCGGCCTGGGCCTTGGCTTTGTCTGTTTACTTGTGAGGAAGAGCTGCATCCGAGAGCTGCTCCTCAGCCTGGCTCCTTAGCTGGTTACTGAGGAAGCCGACAGGCCCAATGCTGTGCGTGGCTTTGGACCAGTCCTTCTGCTGCGTGCCATCACCGATGTCAGCAGTTTAGTGACTTTCTTTCGTGGCGTGTTTGATTGCCATTTCTCATTCAACAGTGACGACTTCACCTCTTCCTCACCTGATTCTTACTTCTCGCGTCATTGTTTTGGTTGGGGTCTGCGATAACTTGACCGGCTGTCTTAGCTGGCTGACAACGAGAGATCCTGGGACGTAGGACATGCTTTTAACCCTGTGCCCGCCCCCGTCCGATTGCCTGGTTTCCCTGGGATTGAGGAGCTTCTCAGGACCCAGGACGCTCAGGGCTAAACCCAGAACAGTTACGAGAAAACCTGACTTCATTACCCTCCCTGTAGAAATCAGTGGATGGAAGCCGAGAAAGTGAGAACCTTCCGCATTAGTAAAGGTCATGTTGGCCAGCAGGTGGCGTAGCGGTTATGCCACTGGACTCCCACCTGGCTGACCACAGTTCAAGTCTAGACCTGGTGGCTTGAAAATCACGCCGGGCACATGTGCATGCGTGCTCAAGATCCCAGAAGGGGAATGGAGGAGAAGGGATTGTGACACAGCCATCTGCCCTGAAGGGTATTTCCTTTCCCTTTCACTATCTCTGTCTCTCTTTCTCTCCCGGGAACACATGTACCCAAAGGCAAAAACTTATAAAAAAGAAAAAAAAAAGGTAACGTGGCTAACGTTTTCTGTTAAAAATGTTCACAATAGGTTTTTGTTTGTTTGCGGTAGGGTGCGTGTGCTCCTCGGAGAGAGGAGGTGACAAAGCACTCCCAGAGAGGACGGCCACACTGCGGTTCCTTCTCCATTCTCCTCTTGGGATTCTGGGCAGGCATGCACACGTGCCTGGGGGACAGTCCAGTCACCGGGCCCAGGATTTGAACTGTGCTCAGCCATGTGGGAGTCCAGTGCCTTCGCCACCGCACCACCTGATGGCTCCTCAGAATGATAGATTTGCTTCAGTGTTGGATTATCCTGGCATTTTTTTTCTTTTTTTTTTTTGGAGAGGTTTTTGCTATAGGGTGCGTGCATTCGCCAGACAGAGACAGAGAGACAGAAAGCGAGAAATCACCCCCCAGGGGGGATGGCCATGCCGCAATCCCTTCTCCTCCATTCTCCTCCCGGAATCTTGGGCATGCACGCACACACGCCCGGCGTGAGTTTTAAGCCACCGGGTCCAGGACTCGAACCACTGTCAACTACGTGGGAGTCCAGCGACATAGCCATTATATTAACCGCTAGTCCCGGCATTTTCTTTTCTTTATTATTGATTCAAAAAGTACTCGGGAGGGAGTGGAAGGCAGGGTCCCTCAGGAGGAGACTGGCCAGCAGCTGGCCTGACCTGTAGGGTGTGCACGCACTCCCCCTGCACTGTGAAATCTCTCCTGTGAGGGCTGGCTGGAGGAGGAGGGGAGGGGGAGCCAGGAGGGCGGAATGTGGGCCGGGCCAAGTTTAGAATTACAAGTGCCAGGGAGGCTTTCTCCAACCACACTTTAAATAGCCAGCACCTTCCCCTTCCCCCTTAGATAATTCTTCTCCCTGCTGGACCTCTGGTAGCAGCTTCATAAGGTTTGAGATATTTTATTCTCTCTTTCTGTCGGTCTCTGGGTCTCTGACTGCAGGATGGTGGGATCCATAGAAAACCCAAGGCCTTTGCGACAGTATGAAAATGCGTTTCTGAGGCTCACGTGTGCATATGCAAAGACTGCGCTCTCTTTCGCCTTTCTGAAACGTGGGTGGTTGTGGCCTTAAGGAACCATGTGATTGTGTAAAAGAGAACCCTAGGTTGGGGGGAAAGACATGGAGTTTCATTTCAGCTTGTAAATGTCAACCCTGGAATGGGACGGCGATCCACTGTGTGACAGGATCGAAGGGAAGACAAGTGTGAGTGCCTTTTATTCTACTGAGCACATAGCGGGAGCCCTCCTCGCTGCGCCTATAGCTAGGTAGAGCCCGCCACCCTCGCTGTTCCACATGCACTCCAACGCCAGAACCACTTACCAACCTCCAGGAAAAGCTACAGTTCATGCGCCCGTGGGAGGCAGTTAGGATGAGGCCGAGGCACCCAGGAAAAGGCTTCTGTCTCTCCTAGGGTCTCGGAAGGCGAGCAAGGGAACGGAGGTGGCTCTCCGTCACCGAAAGCCCTCAGGCAGATGGCGAGGGGGTGGAAGGCAGAACCAGCCCAAGGCTTTAGACACCCTTCTCCAAAGGACCGAGGAACCCTCTGGGGCAAGTTCCTCCTTCTTAGCCCCGGAATATCTTTGTAGCCCACCCCTAATTTGTTGTCTAAGCCAAGGTGTCTGGTCTCCCTGACTTCCTCTACCTTTCTGGACTTGCTCCGGCAGCTCTGCTGGGGAGGCAGAGCCCGAGGTGGTCTGTGGCCATAAGAGGCTCCTGCTAGGAAAGTTCTGTTAGCGTTGAGTTTTTCTTGAGGCTTGGAAAAAAAAATCCATGTGGCGCCTTCTCCAGAAAAGGGGTTACTGGAGAACACCAGGGCAGAGTCACTAGGAGAGGCTTATGTTAGGCGTGGGAGTCTTAAGCGGCAGGGATGTCACTGACAGAACAGGACATCTCGGAAGCTCGCTGAGCGCCGTGTCCGCGCTGTCACACAGTGGAAGCCGTACCCTGCATCTCAGGGCTCTGAGAGTTAAACGGATGTGTGCCAAGTGGCCAGCCTGTAGGAGCTGCTCACCGACGGTGCGCCACAGCCGGGCTTGCTCCTGCATCTCCACCGCAGCCCAGACAGGCCGTTTGTGGTGGTGCAAGGTTTAAAACGCTGGCTCTTTATTTTGTTTCTGTTGTCCTCTTCCCTGTAACAGAGGCTAGAAATAGAAATCCCATAACATATAAATGTATTAATGTTTCTAGTATTATCTATGAAGAGAACACCTGGCTATGGACTCAAACACACCTGACTGCTTGACAGATGTAACTTAATAGAGGAAATGAAAATGACAGCAATTTCATAAAGCAGTAGCAATTGCAATGAGTGACGTCCCTGAGCTAAGGATTTTTTTTCTTTCTTTCTTTTTTTTTATTCTGATTCTATTATTGCCAAGCTGTTCTCCAGCTACTATTTATTACCCAACTCCACTCCAAAACACACACATGCAAACCAGGTAGAGATTATTATAAAGAATAGGAAAACACCAACTAGCATTTTCATTAGAAATTTAAGTGCCAAACTATAAAGTACAAGTTAGATTTAATACATACTTGCATGTATTTATAGTCATACATGCTAAGAGAAATCAAACTCGGTTTAAGCCGTCTCTCTGTCTCTCTGGTGAGCGCATGCACCCTATAGCAAAAATCTCTCCCCCAAAAAAATAAGTGAAAGAATAAATAAAATTAAATAATTATTTTTAAAAAAAGATTTTATTTAAATTTATTTATTTATTTTTAATTTGACCAGAGAGGGACAGAACAAGAGGGAGAGAGAGAGAAAGAGAGAGAGAGAGAACATGAAAGTGAGAAAGCAAGCCACTGGGTCCGGAACTTGAGCCATGGTTGACCACATGGGAGTCCAGCATGTTCAACCACTACGCCATCTGCTGGCCCCTGTGGGATTTTTTTAAAATTGGCTTTTATTTTCATAGTACAAAAATAAGACATGTCCTTTGAAGAAGATGTAAAAAATATTCCTATAGCCCAGCTGCTGAGCAAGAAGCATTTGGGTGACTCCCGCCATCTCCCAGTGCATGCCAATATAAAGTGTTTGTCAAGCACGATTGCATTGCACCTGCTGCTCCACTCCGGACAGTAACGCTTTCATTTCAGCTTACTTGCTTCTGTGAGTTTTCATGACCACCGAGTAATCCACTGTATGAGTGTGCTATACTTTATGAAGCTCTCCACCATTCTTAAACATTCATGTGCTGTCTAAGTTTTTGCCTTTATAAACAATGTACACCCTTAATGCAAACCTTTCACCTGCAGGCACAATTATTTTGTTAGGGCCAATTCCAGACTGGTAGCTGAACTCGCCAGAGTAGGTGAACTCGCCCTTCCAAGGACCCAGCATTCAGAGGGCAGAAACCAGTGCACATACAAATACAGACAGGGCTGGTCGTGGGTGCCAGGAGAACTTCGCCCCGGGGCGCCTTCCATGCCCACAAGTCCCGCCCAAGAGAACCCGAGAACTGGAGGCGAAGTCTGTCCTTCACATATCACTGCTTTCTTCCTACAGTAGGGCAGGGATGTATATTCTCATCGACAGTTACCCAGTCTCCGCCAATCAGAGATGCCAAGGAGGAAATGAGCCTACAGACAAGGGAGTAGGACTAGGAATGATTTATTTATTTTCAGAGTTTATTTTTAAAAAATTTTTTAAATTTTCCTGTCTATAGGCTGTGTGCTCTCACCAGAGAGACAGAGAGACAGAAAGCGAGAAATCACTCCCCCGGGGGGATGGCCATGCCATAATCCCTTCTCCTCCATTTTCCTCTTGGGATTTTGGGCATGCATGCACATGTGCCCAGCGTGAGTTTTAAGCTGCCGGGTCCAGGACTCGAACCACAGTGAACTACATGGGCATCCAGGAATGCAACCATTATGCCCTCTGCTGGTCCCAAGGAGTAGGAATTCACCCTCTTTCAGTGTGCTGATGCCTTGGGGATTTGCTGGTGAAGGGAGGAGGAGGTCTTTCCTTCGGGGTTCCTGACAGTCACGGAGCACCCGCTTATTTTCCAGGTGGGATGGACGGCAGGGTCTCAGGCACAACCAGTAATGGAGACACAAACCCAGCATACCCAGGCCTGGAAAAGGCGGAGGAAGACGACACCCTGGAGCGGGGCCACTGGAACAACAAGATGGAGTTTGTGCTGTCAGTGGCCGGGGAGATCATCGGTTTAGGCAACGTCTGGCGGTTTCCCTATCTCTGCTACAAAAACGGGGGAGGTGAGAGCCCCCACACACCCCCCATCCCTGCAAGGGGGATGCTTCCACTTCCTGCACTTACTGCTGGGGAACCCCATGGTCCATAGAACGCCAGAGTTGGGAGGACCCTTGGCGGCCACTAAGGAGACAGACCTGGAAAGATGGCGCATCTTTCCTTGGCTTCTTTCTGTTCTAGCGTGGCCTCGTGCTACATACGAGTCTTGTGCTCATGTCACACACATATGAGACACATATAGAAGCAGGGGTTCAGACTTGGATCTGATGGGTCAGGGTTTTGCTTCTGCTCTGCAGCCTCTTGATGTGATCCCGGGCAGGTCACGTAAGCTCTCAAAGCCTCACGATGCCCCGCGACTGGCGGTAACAATGCGTGCCCTCCGAGGTTGTAGGGTTAGCCTGGTGCCCGTCGGGCACGTACTACATCGGAGCAGCTGGTGGGGCGGGAATTGCCACTGCTCTGCGGTCTGGAGACTCCTCAGCTGGGCCTTGCTTCTCCCCCTACTCTGCCAGCACCATGACAAGCTCTAAGCCACCGTCACCCGACCCTACACTGGCGACTGTGACTTCAAAGTCTCCCAGGACGTGTGTGTGTCACTGGACGGGGCAGGGGTGTGCGCTCCAGCTCTTCACTCTGTCCTGATCGGTTCTCGTTTCCTGGGCTGCCTCTGCTCTCCCAACCCTTTCAGGGAACCCCAAGTCTCTCAGTGGAGCCCTGCAGGGATGCAGCAGGGCTTGTGGCTGGCCAGTGGGTTGGGGAGATCTCGTGGATGGGAAAAGCTTCCCGTGGCTGGGAAGGCATCGGCCTAGGCCACGTCTGGTGCTTTTCCTGTCGCTGCTACAAAAACGCGGGAGGTGAGAGTTCCCAGGTGGAGGCTCGTAGGTCCGAATCCTCAGTGATGCTGCAGCCCGGCCTGGAGGAAGGTGGAATGCAGAGGGAGGTCACCAGGGACAATGCAGGGGAGAGTGACAAATTCACAGGTCACAGGGATCGGAGGGTCCCTAACGTGACACCAAGCAGGGTGGGTAGGAGCAGGGAGTAGGATCAGGCTGAGCCTCGCGGCGGTCTTAGGGAGAAGTGGAGACGCAGAGTGGTGGAGGGGTGGGGACGCAGGAGACTCGCGGTGGGCCTGCAGTCTTACCCCTGGTTTGTGGCAATTGAGGACCCGCCGTCGGGCTGGACGCTAACTTGTACTTTTCCAGAGGAGTGGGCGTGGGCCGACGTCGCCTTGCTCCCTGGGGACTTCTGGCTGGTGGCCTGAAATCGTAGGACTTTGCTCAGCTTGCACTGTCAGGCAGGAGGGAGGTCTTCCCACCCCTGCCCAAGCCCTGGATGTGCCACATGCTCGTTTAGGGATTTAGGCCTGGGCATTCTCCCTTCAGGGAATTAGCAAAAGGGGGGGGGCTGGGCCAGGGCGCAAGCAGGAGTCTGGGGGCACGAAGCTGGGCCTTGGGACTCCGTATCTGGGACCCAGTAACAAGCTTAGCTCTCACATGGCAGAGAGATTAGGAGGTGAGCAGCTTTCCTCAAGCCCCTTCGGATTTGGGTAAAGGTTGGCCCGGGAATTAGTAGGAATGGCTCACGGGGCCGGGAGAGAGCGATTTCCAGGTCTCGGGCCAAAGCACCATCTGCAGTTACTCCCCATGGTCAAGCTCAGGGCCTTAGCTCTCTTTTTACTTATTTACTTAGTTGTTTAGTTAGTTTTTAGTGTTTTCCATTAGTTTTTGACAGAGAGAGACAGAGAGGGAAAGTAAGAAATCACCCTGCAGGGGCGACGGCCACACCACAGTCCCTTCTCCTCCACTCTCCTTTCAGGACTTTGAGCACACACGCACACATGCCCGGTGTGAGGGCTTGATCCACGGTCAACCGTGTGGGAGTCCAGTGCTCTAACCACTGTGCCACTTGCTGGTCGTTCAGCCCATCTGTATTCTCCGGTGGACGACGACGGCAGCAGGGCACGAGGCACGAGGCGCCTGAAGCCACTGGGTGGTTAGCGGAAGATCAGAGGAGCCCTCCAGCAGGGCAGCCCCGCCTCCCACGCAGGAGGAGCTCCTGCACAGAGTGGGCCCTTCATCCTCCTCCTCTCCCCAAAGGAAGTGATGCCTTTTTCTTTTTTTTTTTGCTATAGGGTGCCAGACAGACAGAGAGAGACAGAGAGCGAGAAATCACCCCCCGGGGGGATGGCCACGCCGCAATCCCAAGCCACCGGGTCCGGGACACAGACCGCAGTCAGCTACCTGGGAGTCCAGCGACATAGCCATTACGCTAACTGCTGGTTCCCGAGTGATGCCTTTTTCTGAGAGGGTCTGTTGCTGCTGACAGGGAAGGGCGGGAAGAGTGGAGACCATTCAGGCTGGGCGGGCCCCTTCCCTCCTGGCTTAGTGACTATTACAGTCGTGGTTCTCAGACCGAGGCTTGGGCTCCTGGGCATAACGGGGATGAGGCCAGTAACTGAGCTGGGACGCTCGGACAGCCTGGAGGAGGCAGGTGTTTGGGGCAGGACGGATGCTCGGACAGCCTGGAGGAGGCAGGTGCTTGGGGCAGGACGGGCTGCCCCGGGCGCAGGGAGGTGTTGCCGGGAAAAGACCTGGAGGCACCCTTCTCCCCCAGCACGCTTAGAAGCAGCTTGGTGCTCTGAGTTCAGGCAGGCCTCTTTGCAGCAGGCCCCCTGCTGCCCCGGCTCTCAGCTAGTTTCCATCTGTCCACCTGTTCCTCCCTTATAGCTCTGCCTCATTCGTTTTTCTGCCGTGGAACTCGCTTTAAATGAACCGAATGTTAAAGCTGAAAGAAATGAAATAAGATGTCACTTATGGGGGCCAGCAGGTGGCATGGTGGTTAAGGGTGCTAGACTCCCACATGATCGACCGTGGTTCGAGTCCTGGACCTGGTGGCTCACTTTCTCTCTCTCTCCATCTCTCTCTGTCCCTCTCTGGTCAAATTAAAAATAAATAAATCAATAAAAATAAAATTAAATAAAATAATTCTTTTTTAAAAAAGATGTCAGGACCAGCAGTTAGGGTAATGGCTATGTTGCTGGACTCCCACGTAGTCGACCGTGGTTTGAGTCCCGGACCCGGTGACTTAAACTCAACGCTGGGCGTGTGCGTGTGAGCCCAAGATCCCAAGAGGAGAATGGAGGAGAAGGGATTGTGGTGTGGCCATTCACCCGGGGTGGGGAGTGGGTGATTTCTCACTTTCTGTCTCTCTGTCTCTCTCTGTCTTTCTGGTGAGCGTACACGCCCTATAGCAAAAACCTCTCCAAAAGAAAAAAAAGATGTCACGTATGTAGTTTTGTTTTGTTTGTTTTTGCTACAGGGTATGTGTGCTTGCTGGAGAGACAGAGACACAGAGAGAGAGCGCACACAAAGTCGCCCCCCAGGCGCCTGGGGCAGGGCTGAGGGCAGGTGAGCTCAGAGCAGTCAAGGGGACAGGCAGGTCTGGGAGGGCTTTTACTCCAGTGACATGGGGAGGTGGGGGGTTCTGAGCAGGATCTCGTGACTTACCGTCATCTCTGGCTGGAAGGGAGAAGCGGAGCAGTTACGAGGCTCAAATCTGACGTCACCCCAAGTCCCATCTTTCTCTCCTGCCTGGGCTCCACCTGTCACCCAGAGCCTGGGTGCTTCAGAGGCTGGGCCTTCGGCTTGGACCTCTCCGCTCCCTCAACACGAGGATACCTGGGACTCGAGGCCCCGGGTGAGGTGTCCATAGGCTGTGCCTCGGCTGGCCCCAGGAAATGAGCACCTGGGAGGGAAGGGGGCGGGAAAGAGCGGTCACAGAACCTCAGCGTTGGGTCCCGCAGAGGCTTCGGGGCACTGAGAGCCCTCCTCCCCTCGTACACACCGAAGGGTACAGGGGCACGAGACACACCTCTCTGCACATAAAGCCCGAGTTGTTTTTTCCTTGTTAAGAATGAATTAATTTCGTTTATCATCATCATTATTATTTGTTTTTTAAAATTAATTAATTAATTAATTTTTTATTTAAATTTATTTGTTTACGTTCATTCACTGTATATCATTACAGCATACAAAATGAGATTTCCCATCCAGAGTACACTATATATTGTCTCAATCAAGCACATCAACATACATGTTATTGACAACAAATAATTTTCCATTTCTTGTTTTCTCTGTTTTGCTTTTTTCCCCCCGATCCTTGATTCCCTATCTCTTATCCTCTGCCATCTCCCACTCTCCTCCCTCACTGTCTCTGGTATCTTTGTTTGCTTTCTATACTGTTTCCCCCCCACACACACATTTTTTATTGAATTACTAAAGATCTTAATTAATCTAAATATTTTCATCCCCTGAAATGACTAGTTCGCAGGAGCCATGAGGAATCCTCTTCTGAAGGAAGGCCTCAAGTCTCCTGCCACGCTAGCTTTGTTTGCTGGAGGCTGAATTATCAGTAGAAAATCTCCATTTCTCCAGTCCCCTGAAATGACTAGTTCGCAGGAGTCATGAGGAATTCATTATTATTTGTTTAATTTGACCAGAGAGAGACAGAGAGAGAGAAAGGGAAAGCAAGCCTCCAGGTCCGGGACTGGAACCTTGTCGGCCATGCGGGAGCCCGGTGCCTTACCCGCCATGCTGCCTGCGCCCCACGCCCGTCGTAGCAGGCCGGGTGACTGCCTCTGCTTTTTGGTTCCTCGATGCCCACAATCCATGCATGGTCCTGTACAGTGTCACCAGGTCGTCTCTGAGACCAGCTGGAAGAATAGGGTCCTTCCAAGGACGGTGGCTTCCCATCAAGGAGGGGGTGCTCTGCCGTCTCATGGGGAAAATGCCAGCACTTGTGAGAATTTTGAGAGTAGACTAGTCAGTAATCAGGAAGTGTGGGTAACGGGACCCCGTCTCCATCACCAGGACTGACTCCGCAGTTTTGAGTGTGGCGTGCGTGTGTGTGTGTGTGTGTGTGTGCATGTGTGCATGCGTGTGTGTACATGTGGTGTTTTGTTTGTTTGCTCTTAAAGACACGGTCTTGCTGTGTTGAGCCCCTCCTG